CCTTTATGATCCAGTCTGATCGATCACACTGCCCTAAATAAAGGTCTTTGGACATCTTTCCCAAGCCAAGTTTCTCTTCTTCTAAGTTATCATTGGTACAAGGTGTGATGACTTTCAGGCATCAATTAATATAAATTGGAAGCAGGCAAAGTATTAATTAAACATGACACTCTGATTATTTAAACCTTCTATTAAAGTTGATTATTCAGACCATGTTGATAGCCTGTTCTTTAAAAATGACTGATGATATCAAACTTTACTGACTTCCACCAAGTCGACTGTTTCCAACTCTTGAAGACAGAGGGAATAAATGAAGTGAGAAGAACACTGGCACAAGTCTAATAGACAAACCGACTAATCTCAGACCCCCAAGGTCAAAGTAAAGCAATTCATTTCTTGGCTTTCATCAACACAAGACATGACTGATCAATCAAAGAGCAGGATTACAAACATTATACATCTCAATGATATGTTCTTTGCACTGTGTAACTTTGGGAACAATGATAGATTGCACAGTCGCCATGCGAGTAATATCATAAGGCAAAACTCATTATATTTACAAAGAAAAACACTTTACTCTTTAAAAACAAAGGTACACATTAGCCATCCTTACTACTACTGGGCATTTCATTTGATGGGGGAAATGTCAAAATTCAGATATTCTTTGGGATCCTATCAACTTCCTGGTCCAAACTTTGAACATACTTGCTCCTCAAAATACTATTTTTACTCTTATGGAGTCAGCCACCATGTTATAGATAATTACAAATTGTTACAAAAATTTCCATGATAATTACTGTCATTTTACATAAATATGTTAAATGCCTCTTAAAGGATTGCTACTTCCATTGACCCAAAACCACTCTTAGAGAAGAAAACATTATAAAAAGACACTGGGAACATTTATAGCCTTATAAATGTAAACATTTAGCAGGAATTTCGCCCCAATTTTTAAGATGAGTACTTTACAAGCTTTAAAGAGAAAGTGAGACATAATACAAGAAAGAAGTCATGAGCTAGTTATTTTGTTTCTATTAATCTCCCAGTTTATCTCTCACTTGTTCTAACACTTAGGGAACTGTTCTATAAGTCAGGCTTGTAATAGCAGTTCTGGAATTACTCCATGGAGCGGCGTTAGGTAATCTGAAAGATTTCCACTGAAATTAAATTATATGTAAAGGGTAGTCAATTGCGATCATGGAACCTTATTCTACATTCTGTATATTTAATATCACATTGTTATTTTCAGTGATATAAATTAATGATCACTTTTCCTATTAGGTCACAATTTTAGCAAAATTGTATTGCCTAGTTGGAGGAGGAGAGTAAAAGGTGCATTTCACCAGCTGCCAGAAAGTTACACGTTGCAGCACACCTGGACACATGCATTCGTGACTAATTGGAAAACACATTTATCTTGGCATATCACAAAGGAGATGGAATTATAATTATTCTCCCTTGTAACTAAAGATATTTTGGAGCTGCATCTACGTACAAAATAATACAAATTACACACTGGACGAGGTTCATGTAATTTTACCATCTGTTCTCTATGTTCAACCATAAATATTTCCCAAATTTTTCCTTGTGTCTAAAAAATAAGATTTAGTTTTTAAAGACCTGGACTGATTGTCAACGTTATAGGGAAATGTTACTTTTAAAATTAAGTCACTGAATAAATTGTTTAAAACCCTGAATTTCTTTAGTTGATAAGTACACAGTACAAATTTAATCTTTGCTTCTCATTAAGGGGATTTTGTGTATTTCTCACATTCTGATTTTGAGAAAATAAACATATTAGCTAAGTTTTACACAGAATCTTTTGGGCAAAAATTGAATACTCAAGTACCTAGGATAGCAAAACAAAAAGTACCAGAGGTTTCTTTTTTCTGCATAAGTCTTAGCAATTACTAATTATCTTGACCTAAAATTCCATAGATTCTTACTTAATCTATCCTGAGAAGTTCCTTAGTTTAAGACCTTAAAATATCAAACTAAAAGTATTCCAGAAATATTTCATGACGTTTGCAGAATCATGATTTCCAGAAAATGAAAATATTTCATCTGGCATAACCAGTGATAATCAGTCTAAATCAGCTTTGATAGTTACTTTTAAATTATTATGACACTCATATCTTATTTATTCTTTTAAAAATACATTTTTTCTCTAAATATAAAAAAATTAAACAAAATCTGTACACAAGAGGAGAGATCATAAAATGCATATTCAATTTCAGTCCTGAAAGTGTATGGAATAGGCTTCAATATGGTATGAAATAATTTTTCATATTTCCTTCAAAAATACTGAAGAAGGAGAATTGCTTAGGATATTGTAACTAAGGAAATACTCTTATATGAGTAATACTTTATGTTGTTTTTAAAATCAGAATATAATTACAGTAACAACAACCAATTATGTAGAGGTTAAAAAGTACAGTCACTAATCTAGGTACTTTGTACACACTAACTCATTACCACAACCCAACGAGGTAAGTGCTGTAATTATTTGCACTTTTTTTAAACTTCTTTTGAAACTTCTTTGCAACAACAATGACAAAACACTGAATCAATATGAAACTGTTCTCTAGTAGTTGTACATATTGAATCACAGACATCATCAATATGTGAAACTAAGACCCTTAAATTAAGAAAAAGAGAGAGAGAGAGAGAGAAATCCTTGAGGTTTTCAAGAGAGGTAATCATGGCATAAATAATTTTAAAATATGTTTAATATATACAATACTATTATATGTACAGCAAGTAAAACTGGACTTAAACTGTTAAATATCGGGGTGCCTGGGTGGCTCAGTGGGTTAAAACCTCTGCCTTCCGCTCAGGTCATGATCCCAGGGTCCTGGGATCGAGCCCCGCATGGGGCTCTCTGCTCAGCGGGGAGCCTGCTTCCCCTTCTCTCTCTGCCTGCCTCTCTGCCTGCTTGTGATCTCTGTCTGTCAATAAATAAAATCCTTAAAAAAAAACCAAAACTGTTAAAATATCATTACAAGAAAATCTGAGCTATATCTATGCCACTAATGTACCATATAGAAAATATCACACTATAGGTCCCATCCACAAATTTATATCTTGCCATTTTTTCCCCCAAGAAATATTCTCTGATACTAGATTTTAGTAACTGGGCTCTAAAGAATCTTTAGACTTAAAAGACATAAACCATAGTAATCTCTTTTATAAAATGAAAACTCAATACATATTTTACATATACATATATAAAATCTAGTATGAGCAGTATATTCTTTGTGTTACCACTTACACACTATTCTCAAAAACAGTAAAAATGGGGCAACCTACTTATCTCCATAATTAATAGATTTAGAGTCATCAACTGGCTTATTATTTCAAAGTAATGCTAAAAGAAACTAGTTCCTGGTAAATGTGTGTTCTCTACCACAATCCCAGTTATAAATAGGAAAGTACTGTGATAAATTTCTCATGTTTCTCAATAAAATAACCTTTTCACATGTTTAAATCACATATTGATTTGCATAGCAGTTGAATCAGATAGTATGAAACATCATTTTAACCTCAATTGCTGGTTTGCAAGTTCAAAATTCTGACAACCCTGGTACGTGGCCAGATCTAACCGGCTTACCATCTCCCTCCTGATATACTTAGTGCCACAATTTGTCTACCTTAATGTGAACTGTGAACAGTTGAATTTATTCTCTGATACTTAGGCAATTTCACACTGACTCACCTTTGTACATGTTTTATTTCTTGAATGTCTTTCTCCCTTTTTCTTTCTCTCTCTCTCACCCTCACCCTTCCTCACTCTTTTTTACCAAAAAACATCTGTTCATCATTTGATACTCTACATAATAAGCATATCTCCTTAGACAGAGTTAAGTATTTACCTCTTTGTCAAACTAAGTTAAAAATCTATTATGGCATCATATGATGTTACTTTCTTTTGTTTTCACATTCGACTAACTGACTAGACCATGAAATAATAAACACAAGTCTTATTCATCAGGTAAGAAGTTCCTAGCACAGGGGGCACCTGGGTGGCTCAGTGGGTTAAGCCTCTGCCTTCAGCTCAGGTCATGATCTCAGGGCCCTGGGATCGAGTCCCACATCAGGCTGTCTGCTTGGCGGGGAGCCTGCTTCCCCTCTCTCTCTGCCTGTCTCACTGCCAACTTGTGATCTCTCTCTGTCTCTCTGTCAAATAAATAAAAATCTTTAAAAAAAAAAAAAAAAAAGAAGTTCCTAGCACAATGGTTGAAACATGGTAGATGTTCAATGAATGCCAGATGAGTTAAATTACTTTATAATTCAGTCCATATCTTATGCGGCACTTCTTAAAATTTCCCTCTTCTGCCCATAGATTATGTTGCTTCCCTGTATAGAGTCAAATGTTTTTATACAAATCACAAAATTCACTTATCTAAGTTCTGAGTTAAAAAATTATTCAATTTAGGAGCAATATATAAATCATCATTAAATTACCTCATCATCAAAAGTATTACCTACAAACAAAAAGTAAAAGCAATCATCCAGCTACAAAAATTTACAAGCTCTTACAGTATTCTGCACTTACTTCTCGGCTTTCAAATAACCAGCTATTCATTAATTGCATTATTCTCTTTAATTGAACAGTTATGAAAAAATTCACATGAATTATTAAAAATAATCAATTTTTAGAGTTCATGTCTCATGGAACATTTGTGGGCAACTGAAAGTCCATGTTAAGTTGTATGCAAGCTTTCATGAGATGGACTACCTAAAATACAACTTTATTAGTTTATACTTTCAGGTTATCAGATAATTTAGTTTTGAATGTGGAATGTACAATAAAGTTTTTTACATCTCATTTACAACACAGTCAAATAAAATTTATCTACCTAAGAAAATGATGATGAGGAGGAGGAAAAGGATAAAGTTAAATAGCCCACACTGAGGACATTCTTTAGCTCTGTTTTTTCAACTGTCTAAACTTACATTTTATTCCTCATAAATATTTCAGAGTAAATATGGTCACTTACTTTTCAGGATTTTCTACTTCTTCAGTAACAAAATTGAGATAAAACCTAAAAAGATATAAATGAATTATAAATCATCAATATATTTTATAATTATAACCCAAAGTGTCAAATTTTAAACATGAACCTTCCAATTCAGAATTATAAAATATTTAAAAACCAATACTTATTATAAGATAAAAATCTCCAACAATCAAAGCTCCCACAAATCATCTCTCTATTAAACCATATGCATGGAGTTGTTTTTTATTTTTTAACATTTTTATAGAGGTATAACATGAACAGTAAAGTGCACAAATCTTAATCTACAACTTGATGAATCTTCACATATTTATACACTTATAGAACCAACAAAAAGATCAAGAGATGAAACATTCCTAGAACCCTGGAAGTTTCCCTTATGGCCCTTTCTAGTCAGTACCATTCTGTTGTCAAGGCAACCATTATTTTGACTTTTATCACCTTTAATTAGTTTTACTTGTTTCATCAAAACAGACTAATATTGGGGCACCTGGGTGGCTCAGTCAGTTAAGTGTCTGCCTTCAGCTCAGGTCATGATCCCAGGGTCCTGAGATCGAGTCCCCCATCAGGCTCCCTGCTTAGTCTGCTTCTCCCTCTCCCTCTCTGCCTACTTGTGCTCTCTCTCTTTCTGTTGAATAAGTAAATACCATCTTAAAAAAAAAAAGTAGACTAAACATTTGCTTGTATTACTACTATACAATAATTACTTGTGTGTGTCTGGCTTTTTTTCTGGACTTTTCTTTGGGAGTCTTATCCATGCTGTTTTATGTAGCAATAATTCATTATTTTTATTGACATTGCACATTTTATTACACCATCCATTCTACTGTTGATGGTTTTGGATTACTTTCAACTTAGAGCTATTATAAATAGATACCATAAATATGCTTGTACATGTTTTTGGGGGACCATGCAATCATTTCTCTTCAACATATACTCAGAATACAATCACTGGTTTACGGGGTAGATGTATGTTTATTACCAAGCTATTTGTTTTCCCATTTTTGCACTCCCAGCAATATAGGAGATTATCATGTTTCAGTGGAAGACAAAGTTGGGTATCCACAGTATTTCTCCTCAAGGAGCTCACAGTTTATGGAATAGCCTATATGGAATAGTGAGACACAGCGCAGGCGTCAGTGCTGGACCAGCACAGGGCACAATGGGAGCCAGGGACAAGGCCTAACCCAGACTGGCAAGTTGGAAAGGTTTTCTAGAGAAGGCATCACCCAAGTGGAGTCGGCAAAGATGCTTAACATCTAGCCCTAGTGAAGTGGTGTAAGGACTGTCGAGACTCAGTACACTGCATGAGCACAGGGGTGTGAGCAACAATGTACAATATTTTACAGTGCAAAGTGTGGCAGAAGCAGTAAGAACAGAATTTAAGTACCAGATGGCCTTTGGCTTCCAGGAATCCAGATTTTAGTGGTGTTGGCAAGTCAGTCAAAGCTTGTAGGGCAAGAGAAGTATTACAACACAATAGCATTTCTCAGTTTTAGGGAGTTGGCGATATATAAACACAAAAGGCAAGTAGGAACCGACAATGGTATCAAAGATATTAGATTCTCAAGGTGCACTTTTTCCTTTCCATGTAATGTTTTCTGGTATATGCTCATCCAAATAACCTCAAGTCACAAGATTATGAAGTTGTTTTTTGACACATTGTTAGTCGTTACATTATTAGTGGATAAGTAAAGAACAAAACATTTTGGACACTTCTGCCAAGTTCTGAAGACTTTTATGGGCCGTTTAAAGGACAAAAGGTATTCTAGACATACAATATTTCCCTTTCAAGTTTCATAAGATTACAACTATTACCCTAAAGTTATGACCCTAGAGAAATTCAGATTCCTTTTTTTCACTTTGTGACTCTACTTGTCCCACCCAGAAAATTTCTACCACCTTTCACCCTTATTTTTCCAATCAAAAGGGATGGCTGGAGATTCTTTGAAGCCTTTATAGTTCTTTTTTATTATTATTATTATTTTCAGTTAGCCAACATATAGTTCTTTTTCAAGGTTCCAAGATGTACAGTTGAGGCAGATTCCATCCTCAAATAAGCATTCATAGATGACTGACTTATGAAGATGGGAAAACCAAGGGTTCATAATGGGAAAGCTAAACATATAAAGACAAACACATTTCTACCTCTTCATTTGATAGGTTTAGGCCATTTCCACAAAATAAAAAAGTCATATTTTCAAAACATTCTTCTGTTCTCTTACCATTCTGCAGAAGGTAAAACAGCCATTATATATGTACACAGAAGCTTGGGTCTGTAAGTATGAATTTTCTTCTACCTAAAACCAAATGGCTAGAATATTAGCCCAACAGAGTTAAATATATTTAAAGTATCTCATAATTTAAAATAAGAAATAGAAAACCTGTTTTATCTCATTTTTTGTAAGAACCCATCTAAATTCACAACTAGGAAGTTGACGTTCATGGCTGTCAAAAACTAGACAATAAGTCCAAAATGGAGTGCTAATGCTAAGCCCTGCAGCACCAAGCCAAGACAATTACAGTTTCTCCTCTCCCAGTAAAGGAATTTTGGACCAATCAGGAATCACTTGATTGGTACTAGTTAGGTAATCCACCTGACAGATCCCCGCCATTGCTTACATGAAAATAACCTTGCAAAAACCAACCTGCTTTCTTGCCTACACAAACTTCTTTGTTCCTGCTCCCTCCTGCCTATAAAAGTCTCATTTTGTACAGTTCCTCAGAGCTCCTTTCTATCTGCTACATGAAATGCTGCCTGATTGAAATCAACTTTTGCTCAAATAAACTCTTAAACATTTTAATAGGCTTCAGTTTATCTTTTAACAAGGTTAAGGCATCTAATATTTTAAGGACTATGTCTTAAGTAGAAATATTTGAATAGCTGACAGAACAGGAGCAGTAAGGTGATCTAAAAAGTTAGCAATCAAGGGTATTTTTTAATGACTAGAAAGTAAGTTTTCTAAAGATAGAGGCTATGGTTTTACCAGGAAGGCAAGCAACAATCAATACTTATGTCTGGGCTATGCACTCTGAGGGATTTTATGTGTTTGTTATAAGGCTTAAGCAATGGGAAGTACAGGAAGAACATGTAGGCAAAAAAAAGAAAGAAAAAAAACACAACATAAAATAAACACGTGCACACACAGAAATGTTTCCAGGCTTCTCATGTCAAAAATAATCCAGTTCCTTCTTAATAGTTGTTTTAAAAACTGGTGTTTTCCAACAATGTTTATAGCAAGAAAGGAAATATTTGTGAAAAAAGGAACACAATTTCAAATACTTGCCATAGCTCCAGAGAATAGAGAAAAGGAAAGGGCTTGGGACAGGGTGGGGGTGTGAAGGAGAAAGCTTCTTATTTTGGTCCAAACATTCACATCCTGTGGGAAATACACCTTTATGCTTTCCTAGTCTCCAGCAATGAGTCCATAGCATTCTCCCTGCTTTACATCTCCTCAAGGCCTCTAGAGAACGTTCACAAGATCTATTGTTTCAGCTTTTCCATAATGGTGTATAAAAAGTACCACAAAGCCTGCAATGCATTCCAGTACCCAACTATGTGAATTATTTTTAAAAAAGAAGCTTATTCTTTAGATTAGATTTGACACAATGGTACAAAATAATCTCAGCAGGTGCTTTAGAAAGACTAAATCTACCGAGGATAGGATTTAAAAGGAAGGAAAAAAGACACTGAAAAACTTTCTATTACACAGTTTTAAAAAACCCCACGAAGCAATATTTAGCTTTGGATCAGGATATGGTACTGAAATTGGTTGAGTTCCCTTGGGCCACGAGGAAGACTAGCAGACATATCTCTCTGAATGCAGACATTGGCAATAATATTAAAGTTGCTCTGACCCAACTCTGTGACCTGGCTGGGTTAATGATTTCTTTCCCCCTAATCATGTTTCTGTGAAGGAGTTTTCATCATTCTAAAAAGGTTCTGCACTCCTCATAGCCAAAAGCCTGCTCTATTCAGACCCAAGTGTTGGCAGGGTCTTTTTCCTGAATTCACCATGTAGAAGTTGAATTGCTAACAGAGCAAGGCCTCCTGGAAAACAAAGGTCTCGATGCTTTTACTTACACCCTAGGTGGTTAAGTTCTGATGACAGGAGCTGCTTCTGTCTGACTTATTTGCAATGCCCCCCACACGTTTTATTTGCATCAAACGTTGTCAGGGCAGCAGCACCGGGAGTGAAAACTCATTTACGGTGCCCCATTTATAATTCCACCATCTAGTCTTGTCATTATACTGTGAAAGACAGAGAGAGGTCAGACAGGCAGGATCACATTTGGGAAGGGAATGAATAACCCTCTCTGTGAACTCCTTTCGTCTCCATCTTGTTCCATTTACAAGCAGACATTAGCTTTTCCTCTGGAACTCTGAACCAACAGACTATTTCTTCTAGACATGGCTTCCTTTTTTCTAAAACTGATGGCCGTAGATTAACAATCAGATTATTTCTACCTATCCACAAAGCAGCATCTGGGTAGCATAACCACCCTGATAGAGAAAGGCAAGTTACTTTTCTGTCTCTGCAGGAGGCACTTGTATCAGATAACATTTCATTTAAAATCCCATCCTTCATTACCAGCACTGTAATTGAACCTCCCTTAGAGAGGGATGAGGAAACGATGAGAAATCAACAGTTTTCTCTTCTTTAAAATAGGGAGTGGAGAGAAAGATCACATGGGTAAAAGTATAAACAACAGTTCACGTAACCCCCGCGTTCCCTGTAAAGAGAGTGCTGAACTATATTTCTAGGCCCAAAACGGGGCCACTTAGTCCCCAAACGCCAACTCTGGGATCTATACTTATTTCCTTGTTCCTTATTCATTTTCTATTTTTCTCTTCCTTGTCCCTTATTCTTTGAAAGAATTCTATAAAAGCCTATCCTATAAAAGCTTCCTGTCTTCCACCCCATTTTGTGGTTTTGGAGATTCTTTAGAGTAGAGACTGCCCACTTCATGAATTGTTAAATAAAGTCTGCCTGTATCACCTAAATTATTTTTTAAGTTATTTTAACACGAGTAGCAATTTAGGTTCAGCATCAATAAAATGAAATATTAAGATAATAAGATAACTCAAAATGAAAAGAGTGAGAGAAATGGAAAACTCTCTCAGCCCTCCAAAGCTGACAGAAGTAGAGAAGGTTTTCTCAACGTGAAGCTGCTGACCTGAATATCTGGTGCTGGGAGCAGGAGAGTGAGCGGGATAGAAGAATATTTTAAGATTCCGTGGGAACAGATGCACGACACTCACAGGCAAAAGAAACTTCATTCAATAGAATTAATCAGATCTCCCTTGTGACTATCTCCACATTCCACATTCCTGATTGAATATTGCTGGGCTCCCAACACTTGGCTCTAGCTGAAAGCTTTTACCACCTCCCCACTTCACTCTGGTCTCTGGGTTACCCTCCCAGTAGCTTGGCTGTTGCCTCAGGGCACCAGAGCTTTGATCCAGGCTGAACAGCCATAGAATAGTTGATTCCGCTACTAACCCTGTGATCACAACTCTGTTCTTCCCTGCCCAGCACCACATTGTGCTTTGGACAAAAATAAAAAGACTTCAAATGTACTGTGTGATTCAAGATTAATACTTACACACAATGGCTGTAAGAATATTTCCTGAATATACAAATATTTTATACTATTTCATTTAGAGCTACAATCTCCTAACACCTTTCAAACGTACTTTGCTTCAAAAGCTAGGTTGAAGTTTTAAATTCCTATACCCTCTTAATTTTCCTCTAATGCTATATTTTCACAATTCAGTGAGATTAATAGGGTAAATACTCTATTTATTTTGAAACATATATTTATATTCCATGCACTAGCTGGAAGGTAAGAATCTAAAAACTAAAGAAACAGAAGTAAATAGATTTTATATTAAATGCATTTGTATAATTTTTGAGTTAGTGTGGTTTTGATATTATTTTTATGTTCATAGAACATTTTCACAGCCAAAGCTCTACAAGTATTAGCTCTATAAATCATTTTTAAAAAGAGATGTGGCTACTAATTACTCCAAAATAGTGAAATATAATTTTACTACAATGATTTTGATGTTTAAGCAACACTCTTCTACCTAATGGGCTTTCTTGTAACAGTCATTCCCACTGACTCTTAGGTCAATAAAATTTAATTAGTAAAAAAAAATCACTCTTATCCATGATTATTGTTATTCAAATTCCTGAATAAAATAAGTCATTAATACAAAGTTCTAATGCATCAACCAGAATGATTATCACAGTTGAACATGCACAAAGGAAATGAACCCATGGTATAGTGATTTTAATCATCTTTGCTGCATATTTTGTTTTTCAAATGTTGAGGAAATTTTAAAGAATTTGTAAGAATCTTTAATGTAACATTATCTAGTATACCTGATTTCACTATCTTAGTTCTTCCTACCCTGCTTTTAGAGCATCATTTTACCTCCTGAGAACATCTTACTTATTTCTATATCTGAATTATTTCATTCTCATGGGAAAGTAGAGAAAAATCAATTAATCACTATTCACAAATACCCTTGGAGCTTCAACTGAAAGACCTTTTGACAAGCAAAAAATTAATCTTTAATTTCTCATGGCACTATTATATCTTCACTGATACAGACTTATAAGTGATTTGTTTTGGTTCTTAATGTCAGTGAGTTCCCTTGTTCAGTTGTAGACCCTAACAGTTAAAACCGGAAATGAAACCACTTAACTCATGCTCTAACTAAAACCTATTGTGCTTATTTCTTGTACTTTCTTGAGGCACAGACATTTTGCAATGACCAGAACATTCTAACCACTGGACCAGAAAAGTCCTGATAGCAACAGAACGCTAGAAGACCACAAACCCACACGTCTTCATCCCTACCCATGATCATGGACTGAACACATTCCCACCCCACCCATGATTATGTGTACCCTGTCTGCTCTTGCACGTACCCCCCACCCTGAACCTCTCCCTGTAAAACTCTAGGTGTCCATCTTATAGGCAGAGGTCAGTTGTTAAGGCTTGAGCCTGCTCCTCCCCCAGGTGCCAGCATCTGAAATAAATTTCTCTCTTTCTCTTTTCTAAACCCTCATTGTTTGAGTTGTTGGTTTCTCTAGCAACAAGTTCATCAGAGTTTGTTCAGCAACGATATTGGCAAGCCCAGCCAGGAGCTTCCAATTTGCCCAGTCCCCTCAGGATTCCCCAAGATGGAGCAGTTGGCACTGGCAATGTGCACCAGGGCTCCCCATTTGTTTCCCGAGTTAGTGTCTGCAACAGATCTTTTGGCAACATTAAGACCTAGATGTGTTTGTTTTTTATATCAGGCTAAATCTAATGGTCAACTTGACTAAAAAACTCAGTTATGCTTACATTAAGTCATATGCACAGTAACTGGCCAGGTGGAGGAAGCAGCACCATCTTCCCCACTTCAAGAAAGGCAGATTGTGCTGGATTGTGGCTATTCACACTCATCTAGCACCTTGCTTGGCACTTAACCAAAGTAAATGAAGGAATTAATGAAACATGCAAACCACCAGATCTAGAGATATCAACTTACCAGCCAGCGTATGCATACATTCCATAATAAAAAGCCAGTGGCAACCCCATAATACTCGCGTCTCTTCCTGAGAAGGCATCTTTAAAGTGATGTGTTTGCCCTGCAATGAGAACAGAAAGATTTTAGGACTTTTCAAAGAATTGTTTATTATTCATACTTTAACCATAAACATGGAGAAAGAAATATAAGGTTTGGGGATGAACTATACTGTTTCAGATTCATATTTCTCATTCCCTGATCATTGCCAGATTCATCTATTAAAACTGTCCACTCTAGAGGAGGAGTCCCAAAAGCATATTGCTCACCATTAATGCTATTTCATATTTCTCTTTTAATAAAATTATAGCAAAGAGCAAAATGGTTTCTGTCTGAGCGTGCCTCTACTCTTACAGAGTTTGAGCATGAAAGGAGACTAAAGAATACTCTGTAAGCTATAGTTGATAGGAGTATGATAGAATTCTTTTAACTAAAGATAATATTGTGTTGTGGAAAAAGAATTTTCTCTGCCCTCCAAGATCTTTCTAGCTGGACTAAGAATCAAACTAACATAAGACAGATTAACTGGAGAAAATCAAATTTAATACTGTACATATGGGGAACCCCCACAGAGATGGAAATTCTGAAGACAGAGAAGCAATATGATAGTTACATGAACTAAGAAGAGGGGTAGGGTTCTGAGGGTATAAAGAGGAGAAAGAACATTAGCGGGAAGGTAGAAGGAGAGTTTGGGAAAACAAAAGTTGCCCTACTATGTAAGACGAGTCTCTTAAGTAAAGAGGAATCTCTGTTATTAGCTCTCTTCCTGGTATAAGCAGGTAATTGAGGGGGAGGTAAAGAGCTTTTCCTGAATCTGCTGGGATTTGATTGCTTTTAACTCAAAATAATGTTCATATCAAAGTGGCCCATCTTGGGGCAGACTGTCTTTGGCATCTACACTTGGAAAGAAATATCAACAGGTCTACTCTCAATGAGAAGATAGCAAAAAACCCAAGAACCACCTTCTCATATCATTTAACTTTCATTCTGTTTTCTGTTTTCCCCTATAGTCTATTAAGTATGCCCAGTGGTACAAAACCCTGTGGACCAAATCTGCCTTCCAAAGCTTCTTTTGAAAAATAAGTTTCATTGGCACACAGCCAGGCCCACTTAGTTGTGTCTTAGGATTGATATTATCAGTCTATGGCTGATTTCACTCTGAAATGGCAGAGTTGGGTAGTTGTGACAGAGACTGTATGGCAAGCAAAGTTGAAAATATTTACTAACTGGCCCTTTACAGAGGAAGTCCACTGACTCTGTCTTAGAGAATGGCATGGTTTCCTTCTAGAAACACTGAAAAGAAATTATACTGAATTTTGAAACAGATAGATCTTAGCAAATTTTACATCAACATGTAGATTGAATGCTTTAATTCATAACATTTTCCCCTATTTTGTGACTCATACTGGACCTTTTCTTATATATCCTTTGGATGATTAAAAAAAATTCAGACTTAGACAATATTCAAAGTTAAGCATAAAAAGTCTCTTTCTCGAAGAAAATAGCAAATGAGATCACCCAAATGGGAAATGTGACTTTGCTTCAAAATTGGTCTTCACTCAAGTAAATAAAAGAGGGGTGAGTATATGAAAGATTCAGAATATTTATCACTATGTTATTTTTCTGTAGAAATCATTTTTTTAGTTTACCTGTGTCCCATGTAATATTTGAGATACACTTATATAAAATAAAATCCATTGTTTATCTGGGGAAAAAAAGGGTTGGAAGGTAGATAATGTATCTGATTATGATGCTCTCTCTTCACTGAAACCTCAGTTGTTGCCTGGGTTGTACAGACAACAATTTATATTAATACAATATGTATGAGCTTTGAGACCAAAAATGGAGAAGGTTGAATTGTACAATAAATAATTTTGCCTCAAAGTATCCAGTTCCAAAATATAGTTCATTTAAGAAAAATGACAGAGTGAATTAAAAAATGCCTATTTTACTAAAACATCTCTGTATCCTCATAGAGGGGAAATATAAATACTGGAGCTCAGATAAAAACATCTGTTGAATATTCTTTTATTATGACATATGGTCTCCTTGGCCTAAAGAGATAATATTCTAAGAGTAGAGTACTGAATAAGCAATAAGAAAAACCAAACTTTATTAAAGATCAGGTCCTAAAGCATAAATCCTAAAAAAAAAAAAAATGTCATTTTGAGAGTATTACAAAAGAGAGGCTTTTCTAGACTTCAGGAATATTTTGGATGAATAACAGAGGTCTCAAAAATATGAGAGTCATAATATTCAAAGGAAAGTTTAACAAATCCTCATAAGTAAATGCAGAACATACAACTGTTTTCAGGATCTGATTAGAGTGGAAATAAATGTACTCTCTGTATTAGTAAAGTTTTTCTCTTCCTAGAGTTACAAATTAATGTGAATAATTTGTGATTGAGTTAGAGAGAAAGAAAAATCAACATTTTGTATTAATAGAGTAAATATGCTTACTAAGAATATTCTCCAAAATATTAAAATTTACATTAAATATAGTAATATTCTTTCTGCCGTTCTCTGTTAGGTGGGCTATAAAAGGAAGCCTGATCACATTAAACACTGATAGGTATCATAAGTATTAATTAAAGGATCATCCTATTTTTAGTGTTGAAAAAGATCCAAAAGATACATTATGATCTCTGCTCTTAAGGAATTTGCAATAAAATAACATTTGGGAAACCTCACCTCATCTCACATTCATATATAAATAGGTGGTAAAAAATGACTACAGTCTTACATTAGACAAAAAAAAAAAAAAACTTAGTTTTAAAGGATAGTATATCCTCTTTTGTAACCTAAACTAGAACTTAAGTAGGGTCAATGAGTCAGGGTCTTTGCATTTTCCAAAAATGGAAAAAATGCCTTACAAAAATGGAAGAAAAGACTAAAGAGTTAGCCTGTAAAAAGGAAGCACTAATAATGTTCTCTACATTTCTAAGGCATCAGATAAAATGAGCAGGCCAGCTCTGTGGCGGCCAATGTGAATTAGAAGAGCAAGCTCACGTCTTCTCTTTAGTGTAAGCCATAGGATTAAAATCTTTATTGTGTTTACTCTGAGTTGGCTGAAGTTGCTGGATTTGATACAACCATTTAGCCAAGAGAGTTCTAAGATCTTCCATTAGTAAATGGACCATAGCCACTCTCTTTCCCTAACTACAGAATGACAGATCTTTCAGTGTTATTGTTTGATGTCTCTACCATCAGCCATGATTTTGCTAAATTTTGGTGTTTCCTTTTGTCTTGTGTAATTCTTCTCCTGCAACTTTACAAAATTTCTCCCTAAATTCCCTTTCCTGGAACAGAGCATATCAATATAAACATTACATACTTAACATGCCCAAGTTATATGTCACTCTTTCATAATTTCATCTCACTTTCCTAATTCCCACTATCAAACCCATTGTTAACTAAACAATTCACCTGGACCTCCTACTCTTCCAACAACTTCCACTGAATCCAAGGAATCACATGTTCCTTCTTCCCTATAACAGCTGTAACTCTAAATAACATCACCTGCTCAACCATCTCATCTTTTCCTATTAGTCAACTCTACAAATACTCCCCCCAAATGATATTACATTCCCATAGAAATGCATATTTTACTTTAAAAATAATGTAACCAAGATGCCCTTCAATGGATGAATGCATAAAGAAGATATGGTCCATATATAAAATGGAGTATTATGCCTCCATCAGAAAGGATGAATACCCAACTTTTGTATCAACATGGATGGGACTGGAAGAGATTATGCTGAGCGAAATAAGTCTAGCAGAGAGAGTCAATTATCATATGGTTTCACTTACTTGAGAAGCATAAGGAATAACACAGAGGACATTGGGAGATGGAGAGGAGAAGTGAGTTGGGGGAAATCAGAGTGGGAGACAAACCATGAGAGACTGTGGACTCTGAGAAACAAACCGAGGGTTTTGGAGGGGAAGGGGGGGATGGGAGATTGGGTGAGCCTGGTGGTGGGTATTAAGGAGGGCACGTATTACATGGAGCACTGGGTGTGGTGCATAAACAATGAATTTTGGAACACTGAAAATAAAATAAAATGAAAAAAAAGAAAAGAAAAAAAAATAATGTAACAATAAAAATTAAGTTTTTACAACTTTTTTTTTTGGTCAGATATTTGATTTTTAAGAATGTTACTCCCATATCTGCCTTCCCTTCATTCAAGACTATTCTCAAGGTAAAAGTTATAATAGCCATAGAGTAAAAGAATTTTTGGTCATCTTCTTTTCCAGTTATCCTTTTTTCTTTAGTCTTTATTACTATTAGTGAATGATTTTAAAGTAAATACAAGAGGATATAGTTATCTGTAGTTAAAACTAATGGCAGATTTGTTTTTCCACTTTGAGTTTTCACTCCAAAGCATTTATTTGGAGAGAATTCACTGATGCCTTATTTTGTTGCTTGGCCCAGTCTTAATTCTCTTGTTGCCATTCAGCTGTAAATACCAATGCACCCCCAATGCAGCAGTCTTTCAAATCAATTAGATGACAGTGTAGAGTCTAAGTTCCACAAACAGAGACTAATTAAGAGATTCTGCTCGTACAAGTGAAAGTTAGTGCTAGGAAAGATCAAAAGCAGATACGTGTTTTAAAAAGCATTTACTTTCCAGTCCATACCTTTAATTAGCTGCATAACTCCAGGGACTATAATTATCAGAATTGCTGTGAGCTTGCAAAAGGTTAGGAAAATCTGAATCCGGGCGCTCCAGCTGACACTCATGCTGTTTAGGACCATCACTACAGCTGCAAACAAACAGATGAAGTTACAGAAGGTGAATTCTCATTGGCATGAAGACATCTTAAGTCCTTGCTATTCAAATGCCACCCATTAACCAGCAAAATTGGCATTACCTGGAGGCATTTTGGAATGCAGAATTTCAGGCACTGCCCTAGACCTAATAGATACATTTCAACAAGATGTCTAGGTGATTTTTATGCACATTGAAGTTTGAGAAGATTGGATAAAACTATCAGACAGTAAAATTTCATTTCTTGGTCTTTGTTTATGTTAATAGAGTGGGCATATATTATAGTTTCCTAAAAATCATATAAAAATATCTTCTAACCAAATCCTGAAGTCATCATAATATGCAATCAAATTGCTGAACATGACACTCCAGCTTGGTAAGTCAGGTAACTCTTTCCTACTGTAATGATGTTACACATATGCACCTGCCAGAATGGAAAAGAATGGAAAGACTCAAGAAAGATGTCAAGAATTTGGCTAGTACCTTATTCTTCACTCTCAGAACTAGCCCTAGTGAGCACTCTGGTTTTCCACTCCACCTTCTAATCAGCACATGAAGGAGATACTTTCAACCTACCCTAAAAATATAGGCTTCCAAGATGTGTTTAGGAACTTAGACAAAAAGAGTTATACATAATGAGTCCTAAAGTGTTCCCGGACTAGGGCACACCTTGAATGTGAAGCCAGCAGACTTTCTAAATGATGCCATCTACAGTTTCTGGAGTAACACTCAACCATCCGCTTTCCCCACATAGTAGTCCATGATAACCAGGAGGATAGAACAAGCATTTTCTATCTCTGTATTGCTAGTGTCCATCTCCATGCTTGGCCCAAGAAGATAATCAACACAATTTTGTTGAATAAATGAATGAGTTGCATCTTCAGTTTAAAACAAACTATCTTTCAGCTAAGAAGGCATGAAATGAATGATGATATTCTAAGACCTGACTTCTATACTCAGCTGGAATGACTTCCAGAGGTTCTTCTAGACCACAGGTTTCAACTTAATCCTCTTTCCAGAAGTTTATATTCATTGTTAGCTCTCCCACCCCTGCCAAAGCTACTTCCTGCAAACTACCTGATGTTTGCAGTTATCATCTATAAGCTTTATTTTTTTAAAAGGTGTATCCCTCCTAAACAAATAACACAAATGTATGAACATATTTCTCAGGGGACAAAACAACACACAGGACTTTTATAAGTCAAGTTGCAATAGGACGTTTTCCTATTATACATTCATCAATTATCTTCATAGTCTCCATTGGCTTGTATAATCACTAGCTCATTTCAGAACTTTAGAATCAGTGCAAATGTTACCAACACATAACATATACAGTAATGGCAACAATTTTAAAATAACCTCGGCCCCTAAAGGAAGGCTTTTTAATGATTTATTATGCAGCCATTTAAAAATCATGCTAAATATGTATTGCATGAAAGGATGTTTGTGATATATTACTGATCAGTATAGCAAGTTACAGAAAGAAGGATGAATGGATGGATGGATGGATGGATGGATGGACAGAGAGAGAGATAAAGGCCACAAAGACAGAGAGAAATGAAAGGAAAGAAATCTGAAAGAGTATTTACCAAAACACTAACAGAAGGTATCTATAGATGACAGAATGTTACATTTTGTTTTATTTTTATTTATTTTTCTGTATTTAATAATTTTTATAATGAACATGCAGCATTTTAAGTGAAAATCAGTAAAACAATTTTAACTTTTGAAAAATTCAAGGATGGGAAAATAAGAAATCAGAAGATCCCATACAAAGTTAAATAAGGGTTTACTAATGATGAAATGTTTCAAAGAAGTAATGATGAGAATGATCAGAAAGGCTGGAACCTCAAATGATCTCCATGGAAGGCTAACAGAAATATTTTACCTACGTTTGAAGCTAAACATATGAAGAAAGACAGGTCTATTGTTAATGGCAGAGTGCTTTATCAGAAGAAGGATAAAAAATAAAATTATTTTTCTTTCTCCAACATAAAGCACTTATGTGCTGAAAATAATTTAATGCAACCCTGCTCCCCACTTCATCATCCAGTTATTCTTTTCTTTTTTTTATGCAAATGACTCTGTGATAAATGAGTCATCATATGAAAAGCATTTTTTTTTTTTTTTTAGTTAAGGAGATTCAGCATTGGCCTGAAAAAAATTGGACTCATGTTCCCACCACCAACAAAAGAGCACTGTTTCCTTTTAAATAGAGCTCTTAAAACCTAAAACACTATTTCTGAAAGTACTTCACAATAGAAAAGAGCTGTTGTACAGAGAGAAAAAAAAAGGACAAAGGAAAGAGAAAGAGAGAAAGGAAAAGAAAGGAAAGGAAAGGAAAAGAGAGGAGAGGGGAGAGGAGGGGAGGAGAGGGAAAGAAGGGGAGGGGAGGAGAGGAAGGAGAAGTGAAGGAGGATACTTAATAATGAGTGGAATACTAATTATTTGGTACACCCAATTCCAGCTGAGATGTACCTCTATGACCCTGAAGTACATGGCTTAACAAGTAACAAGGCAGCCAGTATAGAGGGACCATGCAGGTCCTCAATTGACTAGAAATGCTGTTTCATCATGTGTCTTTACACAGAAATTTAAGTCTACATATGTTGCTTATCCAACAATATTGAAAAGGGGCTTTGGGATTCTCAAAATGCAAGAGCTTTCTGGGTTTCTGCAACGAATAATATCTATTTTGTTTTTTATAGACTATCTATCCACATTGTAATAAAAGAAATTTGAGTAAGTTCTGTGGTCCCCCCCAGCTTTACTTCCTTTGAATAATAAATGCAAAATTCACACATTAAAAACTATATTTATATTAATTTTGGCCTCTTTTTTCTTACCAGAATAAAAATACAGGGAGATACAATTTTTAATTATTTATAGTGCAGTTTTCTAAGAACTGAAACCCAGCCATGAAAGCTGTATGTATAAATCCTGGAGATAAGAAACACATATTTGAAGAGAGCTGTTTCTGAAGAGGATCTTTAAGGAAATGTGAAGGACTGGCAAGTGTTTCCTTCTGTACTTCTATAATTCAAGTCCGTCTTTGGATTTGTTGAGTAAGATTACTGAGCCTGGATATACGGGTTTTTCTCCCAGGTTCAGGTTCTCTCTGGCTTCTTACTTCTGACTGCTTCATGCTAAATTGACAAAATATATGGATACCATAGGTATGCCATGTGGTGGGTTAAAGTGATCATTCCATGGTTTTTTATAACAGCTGCCTGGGTTACCTTTCTCTTTGTTAGCAGTCATTTCCTGGATGTATTGATTTCAGAGAAGATAAACACCTCTAGCCATAAACATCTTTAAAAAGGACAGACAGTCTATGTCGAGGATCTTGCTATTAAGAATAAAATTGGTAAGCATTAAATAATTGTAAACTGTTATTATACGGCAGGCATTGTACGAAGACTTTACATGGAAAATGTTATCTAGTCCTCATCTCCCTATGATGGGGACACCATCATTGGCTTTAGCTTCCAGATGGGCAGCTGAAACTTGGGTTAGTATTTAACAGGCTTACATTCACACAGGTAAACATAAAGATAGGCCTGGAGCCTAGGTAAACTGACTTCAGAGTCCACACTTTTATCCCGAGCTCACAAGTAACAATGAGGAAGTAGCTCAAAAGACACACATGATCTCATTAGTATACCTAGTTCCTTCAAACTCCTAGTGGCCCTGCCTCTCTGCTAAGATACATGTTTATCTTGGCTAGGATTTCAAGATACTTTGATCCTACATTTTATTTGTCATCCTCCTGAAGGACATGGTTATTGATTTTCAGTGCTTATATATTTCAATACCATGTATATCTACCTAGGTATGGTAGAAAAGGGGTGAGTAGAGCCAGACTTCAGAATATTTAAGCAAAACCACTCACATGCTGTATTTGAAATGCTGGCCCAGAACTGACCCTTTATTTTCTTTCGTGTAATTCAATGATGCCAGGAGAAGGGTATGGGAAAAGCAAGTATAGTGATATAGAATAGAACTGGCTTATTTTTTTTTTCTTATAATGCAGTCACAAGTGTTATTTTCTTTGCTTCTTCTAATTATTCCCACCAGGCATGAGAAGCAGGGTGGGGCTCTTTACTCACCTATACCCACAGTAAGTGAGGAAGGAAATGATGCTCGGAGACTGTTAGGAATGGATCTGGGATGAGAGTTCATATTTTAAAGAAAGTATTTTCGTTATAATATTATGCCATTCAAGTGTATACTATATAGGGAAGAGTTTTAGGAGACCAGAACAGAAGAGTGGATATCATTTTACATATTGAACATCCTTCAGTGCTTGCCAAAGCTCCATGGGCAGGGAAACTTGCTGGCATTGCACAGGTGTGATGTTCAGACTGGGCTGGAGGAGAGCACCTCATGTGAATGTGTAAGATTTCCCAGCTAGACTTCCCTGTGCCTGACATCTTTACCCAAATCGATAGGAGTTCAGATAAACAAAAACTTTCCATCCTTATTAAACTGACAGAGTGCTTTCGAGTACTTTCAACAAAGGGCAGATAAATGAGTATTTAGTAACTACCCACTCCTACCCCACTATCATTTCTCAAATGGTTGATTAACATTACACAAAACCTGAAATCCCTTTTTCTTCTGTGACTTGATTCTAGCAAGATCCTTCAGGTTTGCACTTCTTCTACACTTGAACTAGAGATTTCAAACTACCACAAACCCTTTCTTCCCCCAAGAAATACAAGGAAGCAATCCAGGAAATTAAACTCTGTTTCCATACCTGACTAACCTTCCATCCTTCACAGGCAGAAAATCACTGATACTCACTTTCAGGAATACAGAATAGGAGAGACTTGCCGCAGGTAAATTTCTTCTTCTCCATCTCCATGTCCACCCCGTTGCTCCATTAAAGCTAAATTCTTCTTAAAGAAGGTCTCACTCTCCCAGTGAGGCCACTGACTTACATTACCTACCACTGCGTCATACCAATTCCTTGTTATTTCTTTCGGTGCTTCTAATTATAGGAATATATTTCCTCAGCATCTCAAGCTTGCAAACTTACAGAACATCAAGATTTATAAGCTAGTGTTATAACTAATGCCAAAAATGAAGAAAATGTTCAGGTTCATTCAAGATTTACTCAGGCTTTGTGAACTCTTCCATCACGAATCTCTACTACAAGAGTTTGGTAAACCACAACTTGCTTAGTTAGCCTCACCTATAATTGCATTAAAATTTTGCTTTGCACAGTTTCCATTTTCTCCTCCAAAATATAAATTTTCCCTTCAAAAAGTTAATAGCACTGGGATAAACAAAAGGAATCATCCAGACTCTTGCATGTAGTAGTATGTCGTGATTATCCATCTCATTTGAAGTCCAAAGCAGGTAATATTTGCAGACTTGTAAATGTTTACATAAAATCTACTGAAAGTTTGCTAATTCTTTTACTTAGGTTGATAAATACATAAATACATGTGCCTAAGATAGATATAGTTTTTAAAAACTTCTATTGTAAATTTAAAAAAACCTCTCAAAAACATTACCTCTATCTTCTTTTCAAATATAATAATCACGGTATGATTCTGCCTCAGTCATTTGAGAGACAAGAATATAATGGTTATAATAATGGCTGTTAGTCCAAGTGGGAGACCAGATTTATCAAGAACTTTATACAGATAAGGCACTTTACAAAAGGCCTTAAAAATCTGACGTAATTTCACCTTTTTGCAGTCATCTAAGACAGATTATCTTTCCACAGATATTTTACCAATAAATAAAAGTAATGCTTAAGAAGTTTTAATATTTAGCTCCAAATCACAAAACTAAGAAACTGTCACAAATAAATTTCAATTCCAGCCTGTTTGCCCTCAGAGCCAAAGCTGTAACTACTATGCTAAGATAGTTCATCCTACAAAAGCTCATGGTATTAGATCCGAAGATCACATTGAACAAATTCTGTTTAATTTACCACCATTGTCCTACTGCCTGAGAAAACTGAAGATATGTAGTCCTCCAGGTTTAACAAGTAGATTTTTCTGCTAGAGAAAAATTCTTCGACCTCTTCTCATAGAATCAGTCAACAAATATTTGTTAAACACAAATACCACACAAAGAATGATGTGAAGGGCTGGAAATACAGCAGTGAAAGGGCCCTTGGTCTCATGGAACCTCCAATGATGTTTTCTCACAGGAGTATCAATAGTTACCATTTTGCAATTTGTTCTTAAGAAATTGCAGGCATTACCCAAACCACTATATATATGCTGTCTTAGTTAATACCATTTAATCCTCACAAAACACCCTATGAAGACTCCAGAGGATTTACAGGTAAGAATACTGAGGTGTGGAAAGGTTCAACGATTTGTCCCTGAGTCTCACATCTGTAGTGTATGTTAAGGGCATGATGAGCTAAGTTTGCCATTACCTCTCCAGAACTCAGAAATGTCTATCTCGAGTATTTTTCTTTGTCTTTCTTCAAAGATTTCACAGAATAATAGTGTGTGCATGTTTTATGGATAAAGTAGCAAATCCAGAATGAGCCTAAGTTCAAAAATATATGTATCTACACATAAAATATTTTTATATGTAATTAACTCTTTCCTGTAAACAAAACACTCAGCTCTCTACTGGCAAATGTGCATTGTTCTCTTCATTGTTCTATTGAAACACTTTAGCCATGCATAACTGAAATTTTTTTCATGAGTATGCAATTCAGTTATTCTTGCGTTGTTTACTATTTCCAGATAGTTCTTATTCAAACATGACCATATTGATTCTTAAAACTGATTTAATTAGCACCTGGTCTTAATTTATTGTTTCCCATAATATTCAAAGGTTTGGCTTCATATCACTTATGTAATGCTATGTATTTTCCTCTTTTTTATTTTTTTCAAAAACTGTCTAATATTTGGGCACATTGATAAAAATGAATAAATTCCCAATCTGGAGACCTAATCTAAGAAGTGGTACTAATAATCACATATTAAAAGTAGAATTTTATCATGACCATCAATGGGCAGCTAAAACTACAACACTGAGAGTGACAGTCTGCTAACACTATAAAATGCACACATACAACATACACAACCAACACATGAACAGCACTCTAGGAAGATAAGGGAGTTATCATTCAACATATCATCAGTGAGGAAGGATAATTTCTAATTCAAAAATCCATAAAATCGTTGGGTTTTCATCTTTAAAATCCTATGAATAAGGTGGTTTTTGTTTGACCATATCAGAAGGTTACCCATCATATCTATTGATCCACTGCAAAACTAGCATGTAATGTAATACCAGGGATCACTCTGAATACTTATTTTTTTCCTTTATTTTCCAACACGAATTTGGCAAAGAACTGAAGCCAAAGGAGCAGGATGTGGAGAGCAGTCCCATCATGCAAAAAGTCTACAAAAATTTTGTCATTAATCACTTTTGCTTTTTTTTCTCCTTTTCTTATTTATATCTATGATACTCACTTATGCCCACAGCTGTAATGAGCTTGATTGCAAGTTCAGGAATTTCACATTGAATAAAAAAGGGTTCCAGAATGTAGCGTCCAAAGGCCAGAGAAATCACAGCAGTGGCTGCAGGGCTGGGAAAAAAAAAAAAAAAAATACATAGGTTAACAAAGGAAAAAACAAATAGCATCTTCATTAAACTTTTTCTACCTTGAGGTAATGTTATTTAACATAAAGAACATGTTAAATATAAAATCTTGTAATTTTCCAAACTTCATATTTGATTAGGTTGTCACAGACATTCTGAGTAAAATATGGCCTATAACATTGGTGGTTAGTTTAAACTTCTCAAATGCATGAAAGCAAGACTGGGTCCTATCAATCTTGTCCCTGCTTTCCTAGATCTGACCCCCCCCCCTTAAAAATCTAGTTTATTATTTGAGATCCTGATGGAGCTGGGCTTACAAGAAGCAGTCTTCTCAATAAGTCAACAACTAAACTCCAGCCACAAGCACAAATGGGGTAAGGGTACAGTGCTAATGAATGGAGCATGGTCAGGAGAATGAATACAAAACCCAACTTCAAAAATTATTATTAATAAGTGCTCATTGAAAATATATGCTTTTGATCTTGACATTGTATTCTGCCTATTTTTTTCCAGTTCAGACAAAAACTTGAAGAGCCAAGTGATTATTCTTAATTTCATAGAAACATTCAGATGCAAAGTATAAGTTGAAAAATAGAAATGCTGTTATGATTTTACACAACTGAGAAAATACCCATGAGATAAGAAAATTAAATAAGTTCAGGTCTATAATAAAAGAGGTAACAAACCACTCTACTTTAATTCTTCAAATATTTCTAAGAGAAAATTGCATGTGCCTTTAAATACACTTCTATAAGAATGCATGCTCTTTAGATACACAGGCAAATTCATGGAATTATCTAATTTCTTATACCAATCTTCATTTTCAGCTTCTCTTCTCATAGTTACTCAGCACCCATGCTCAGTCCCTAGATTGTCAGAAAAACCGACCACCATTATGTTCCAACGTCGGCCTGCTTGTACTAGACAGCACAATATATTTTTTGATTTTCTTCTTTTCCTAAAGACCCTCTCCTCTTCCACCCTCAAAAGATGATTTTTCTTATTCTTCATCATTTGCAAATTTTTAATGTATAAATTAAAGTCTGATCACATCATTTTAGTGCTTTCAAAACATGCTCAGGATATGCAAAATCCTTTAGTTACGGCTCCATCTGGTCTAAGCTTTCCCTTCCTCTTGGTTTGCTTCTTCCCACTAGAAGGAGAGGAGTACTCTTTGCCAGGAGCCCCTTCGACTCACTGACAATTTTTTTATACCTCATATCTTTGTTCAATCTTTTTATGCTCAGGGAAGTTCCTTTAATCTTCTGATTGGGTGAGAGTTCCATGAGTATACCCTCTTACTGAGTCTCATGGTTTCCCTTTCATGGTCCTGATCACAGTAGCAACTTTGTCCTCAGTATGTGATTCTTGATTGATAACTATTTCCCTCATGTGACCCTGAGCTAAATGAATTCCAGACTCTGTCCATCTTTTGTTTTTTAAGCCTTTATTTATTTATTTGACGGAGAGAGACACTGTGGGAGAGGGAACACAAGCAGGGGGAAGTGGTAGACTGAGAAGCAGGCTTCCAGCGGAGCCAGGAGCCCAATATGGGACTCGATCCCAGGACGCCAGGATTACGACCGGAGCTGAAGGCAGATGCTTAACGACTGAGCCACCCAGGTGCCTCTAAGACTGTCCATTTTAATCACTGTTTTATCCCCAGTGTTTAGTATAGTATCTATCCTAAGTAGAAAACCAATAAATATTTAAATGTATGGTTAATGCGAGAGTTCAACCTAATGACCCCTGCTATGTACTGATGTATGATTTTTTTTTCCTTGAAATCTGTGTTCTACAGATTATTCCTGGCAAGTCTGAAGCATCATTTTAAGTATTTAGACACCATGGGTGCTGTCAACAGATGAGAAATATTAAAGTACCTAGGCATCTTGTCAATCCTCAAGTCATTCATTACTCTGCTTATTTGGAAGACCAACCAAGCACTGTGAGTCCCTTATTACAAAGGAATAGATGAACCCTTCATAATAAGCTTCTAGAATATATCTAGGCTATTTCCTCTGTCAGTACAAACACACACACACACACACACACACACCATGAAGCAGATCTTTTGCAGTTAAACTAAAGTTTAATTATGTGCTACATGGGAACAGGAATTGTGGCTCATTCCACTTTAAGATCTCTTTAACATACCATTCAGCACTCAGTAGCTGTTTAAGGAATGAATAAATAAGTGAATGAGCACTGTATCTGTGCAACTGTGAACAGAGAGATCATGTTCATTATAATGCTAAGCAATGAGCCAAAACCATGCAACAAATACATAGCTGAAGAGGGATTCAAGTGCAGCTATATCAGATGACAAGCCCACCATCCTGATAGGCCAGTGCTCAGAATAAGTAGTGTCCTCATTTGAATACTGAGAATGTTGTATTCAAAATATTGAAACTTAAACTTCAGGTCAAAAAGAACTAAATTACTTGAAAAGAATTTAATACTGCCGCTCAAAAAGAATTTACTATCTGTGATACTCAAGACACTGATTAAGAAATACAATGGTTTCAAAAAGTGTGAGAGTTGGTTTTATGTACTTCAAATGCCTGCAGTTCTGATGGGAGAAACAGAACATAGACACCTGGAAATACTAAGTAAGAATACAAGATATGCTGAATGTCAAAGAAGGAGACCCTGCATTTTTTCAGAAGAATTAAGAGAGAAAAGAAATATAAACTACGGTGAACAGGAAATGAACTGTGGAAAAGACAGGATTTAAGTTAGCCTTTGAGGAGTAGTATTCAAATAAATCAAAAAAGAGCAGAAGGTATATATCCCAGGCAAATCCCAGATTTTAGAAAAGGACAAAAATACGTCTTTATCATTATTCCATTATAATGAGTTTAAAATAATGCTGAATTGTCTAAAATGAGAACAGACTTCTAGAAGTAAATTCTATTCTAAGCTCTTTGTTAGAAAAGAGATACCTACAACTATAAAAATCATGCTTAGTGTCAAATCAATACTTATTAGCTCTCCATTTGCCCCTTATGCCCCAAGTGTTAGGATAAAAGCTCACAGGAGCTCTCAGCTGCATATGTCTGGTAAGTTTACAGTAAAAGCAAGTTTCTCCAGTTATTTCTGTTAAAACTCTACAATCAGAATGTGCAAGTCAAATTTTATGGTAGCAGTCAGCCTTAAGAAACTATGATACTCTACACTTCTCAGATGACATCAAAGATTTCTCACAAAAGTTAAAAGAAATTTGCTATTCAGAGTGACTTAGCACTATTTGGTTTGAAATTAAGCCAAGATAATTAGAAAGGAGAATGTTTCTTACAGCAATAATTTTTTTTTTCGCAACTATAGTTCACTGATTTGCCTAACAAGAGGAAGTGAGTCATTCAAGCTTTGTTTTGTTTTGTTTTTTATAAAGTAGTAAACTCAGTGACACACTAAGTTGTTAGGCACAGAAGTTTCCTGGTCACGACACAGTAAAGTTAAAGAACAACGTAATCTGCAAGAAGAAAACTATTAGCATAGCATTCAATTTTGTCTGGCCAGCCAAAAGGCATGATTTATCAAGTCAGATTTTCATGCTTCATATCCTTTCAGGTCAACATATTTTCTAGAAATGTCAGAGAATAATTGAACATTAAAGAAAATTAGTTACCTTAAAAGTCTGGCATGGTTAGAGAACTACTGCCAGTGACAAAACTGTATAAACACATTAACTGACAGTGGTATTTCATACACATTTCAAACTCTGAAACAGACATGTTTACAACATAGTCACGTAACATGCATATTCCTAATCAGTTAAAAATAATTAAGATGATTTAGAAAGGGTGTAATAAATAGATTTATTTTTCCTTAATGTTTTTTTTCTTATTTATGCTCTTACCGTATTATGAGCAGTTCTACCCAGACTCGTACAAAAGCTGGTAATGGGCCAAAGACCTCCAGGATGTATGTATAATGACCACCAGATTTCTTTATACTTGTTCCCAACTCAGCATAGGACAAGGCTCCTGTGAAATGTACGTAATAAAAAGGTACAAAGTTAAAATAGTACCAAGTCATCCAGTAGAAGAATTTATATAATAATGTTTATGTTATATGAGATGTTCCTACATCATTTGGTCTGAATGAGATCCTTATTTGAAGAGAAGAAATAGTCATTTGATTGTTAGAAGCCACCAAAATCTTTTTATAACTTTCTCATATTTGGGATCTAGTTCATTGTATTCAAACAGGATAATTTTGTTTGCAATGGTAAAGATAAACTTCTAAAATAGTACCATATTAGTAAGAATTTTTAATCTCAAACCTGAGGAAAAGAGAAGATAGATGCCAGTAACACTAACCTATTTTTAAAGGAACTCACACCAAGACAAGGAATTGTCTCAAATTGACCTCATTATATTAAGAATCCTTTTAATGATATTTCTGTTGCACATCAAAATTAACAAGATTAATTTGTTCTTCATAAAAATATAGACTCTAGGCCTTGCAAGACCTCACTTAATTTGTAGGATATGGTTCATCAACAAAATGAATTTTGACTCCCATATTCTATTTCTAGAAAAGGTTTTCTTGGACTTTTTTGAAGTGCACACTTCTGGGTTGTTGAAATAACATACTGTTTAAAAGAGATGCTATAATTTATGTATATTAGGTAAAATTAATTATAAACAGTTAGCAATTTCAGCATTTATCAATACAATTCACATGGACCTGAGCAAGTTATGAAACCTCCCCAAAACTATATTTCTTCCTTGGTAAAAGGAAAATCTCAATTCTCACCTCATAAGAGAGTTGTATGTACATATGTGATAATGGGCTCCAAAGACAGTACTGGGCCTGATACACTGAGGACACTTCCTGAAATATACTTATTAATTTGAGTAACTAACTATCAAGAACATGAAAAATACATCTTGATACTATGTAAAAAATTCTGTTCATATTGCAAAGTACTCAAATGTAACACAATTTTTGGCTGCTCTACTTCAGAGTCTGAAAGTGTGGGAAATTATTACTGATCAGAAAAGCTTTAGGCAGAACTGTCCAAAAGGAGTAAAATTTGGATATTCAGTGAAATCTTACTATCATTTATCCTATTCTTGAACTTAGCTCTGTATCAGAATCACCTGGAAGTAAATTTTTATTTAAATACACACAAGGAATAGACTCTAAGGCCCCACACCTGTTCTCTACCAAGTGAGTCCAGATCTCCAATAGAAGGATCCAGAGAAATCTATTATTTTAAAATTTGTACAGATGATTTTAAAGGTAACTAATCTACAGATTGATATTGAGGATCACTAATATAGCTTGTTTATTTGTAACTAATTGTAACTACCTGCAATTTACTCTGTTGGAAACCCGTCGCCATGTTGGTAGCCTGTACAAAAAAAGCTTCCAATACAAAACGTTATTAGAGGGGCGCCTGGGTGGCTCAGTGGGTTAAGCCGCTGCCTTCGGCTCAGGTCATGATCTCAGGGTCCTGGGATCGAGTCCCGCATCGGGCTCTCTGCTTGGCAAGGAGCCTGCTTCCCTCCCTCTCTCTGCTTGCCTCTCTGTCTACTTGTGATCTCTCTCTGTCAAATAAAAAAATAAAATCTTTAAAAAAAAAATGTTATTGGAAAGTCTTAAGTACCTCAGAATTTATTGCCAGAGAATCAGTACCTAACCTGTGTATGCTGTGCTGAAACTCCAGGATAGTTGCCCTAGGTTTAAATTGAGTTCTGGAGGAATGAGATTTTCATTGAAAAGTCTCAAGCTCCATAACCATTTTACCCAGATGAAAAAAGTGCAGAACAGGATGTAAAAATCCATGTACTGATCCTGGCTTTAAAAAAATTGTAAACCAAATACACAGATTCTTTACTATTAGTCTCAGAGTTCTAGAGTTTTAAGAAAAAGATTTGTTTTCCTTACAGTTTGCTTTGCTTCCTGTTAGGAAGGTACTCCTGTCAAAAACTCCTAGGAACTTAAATGACAAAATGTAAATACAGATAAGTAGATTAATACAGGAGCATGCGCCCTGTAATTAGTAACAAAAGAATATCAACTCAAGTGTCACCTAGCTAGTCCTTTTAATTTTTTTTCCCCTGAGCATCTGCTTGAGTTGGTATACTTACACAGAACCATATTTTCATAGCACAAGAGCATTTTAACTAGTTCAATCCTCAGCCCAATGCATTTTATTATACCTGAATAACTTTTTATTTTGTACACACATCAAATCACAGAGTAGGAGCTGCATGTATAGAAGTTTGAAAACTCCAGGAAATTTGTTATGTTTTTTCCTATTAGACATCGATTTATTCTCAATTTACCAAGTATTTATAGACAATTAAAGGCTGAGGGTGCACAAAGTCATTTAAAAAGCACAAGAGTTAGGTTTCTGTTTGTCTATTGATGTACATGCCAGACCCACACAGAATACCACAAACTTTCTAAAAACTGAAAAACAATTCTACAGATCTTTCTATACTAAGGCTCTGTTTTGACAAGTTTTCCTTGAAATACTTTCTTCCTAATAATGGATATTTAGGTTCTCTAGATGAACACCCAAAGTAACACATTAAAACATGACAAGGCCTTAAGAATGGAGGGATGGGTACCCGTAGGACCAAGAGATAGGACTCAACCCTAGAGTTAGGGCAACGCTTTCGGTTAGTACCTTTACAGAGTAGAACCTTTTAGAATTAAAACACACTAGTTGCCACAAAAGAGCAAATATATCTTAGACATTTACCGCACAGTGTAAGCAAAACTTAAATTTTTTTGACCGTCCACCAGTTTTTGTCACCTTTATAACTACCTCAGGTAGGTTTCTAGTAATTTGCCAACCCCATAAAAGACATTTATTATTTGCTATTAACATCAATCAATAAAAGAGATCTAGATTTAGAAGCAAAATTGATCATCATACTTCTAGTAGTGGTTCTGTTCAGACTGACTCGGCGGACAGGTGGACAGGTTATCCATGTCCCTGAAGACCCAGTGAACTATAAATGAAGGAAACAGAGCACAGCAAGAGAACACCCAATTCCAATTTTACTGTTTATACTTTAAAAGTTTACAGGTGTTAGGGAGAGATAAAAGATTGAAAAAAATTGAAATATGCTCAGACCCTTGCAATATTCCCACCTATCACAGGAATCAAGTTATGTGCCACCACACACAGTATCATGGCAAGGACTGTTGAGAAAACATTAGGAACTGACAAGCACGCGAGGTTAAAAAGTTAAAAAGACTGCACCCCATCCCTCCTGGTTTGTTTTGGCAATAAAAACACGAGAACACTTCTGCTGAATGCTCAGTTCTGTGTCTAAATAGGCCACGCCAGGTTTCACTTCACAGGTGTTTCATTCAGCGTGCCGGCTTCCAGGACGCCTCAAACATACGTAAGGAAGCATACTGCCTGGTACAGCAAGTTCGCACGGATTTTACTGGGTCATCAGTTAGCTTTCGCTCTAACCGCCACAGGGAAGTCAGAAAACAGTCTGTCTTAGTCAGGAAAAGGGACTCCGGGCTGCAGGAAGCAACGTGGTGGAATTCAGGGTCCTGCCAACAGTGAACACCGTGTTTGGGCAGTTCGCACACTTAAACAAAAATCAGAAAGTTTGACGTTGTCTGTGCCATTCATTCACTCTTTAAAAATGACTCTTTGCTTTCTCAGAAAGTAAACTGCCCAGCACCACAGACATACCCCCCAGAGAAGAAGCTGCACTCACCAAATAGTGACAGGACCCCACAGACTGTCCAGATAATCAGAGACATGCCCACGCTGCCCGTGTTCTGGAGCACGCCCTTGGGAGAGATGAAGATTCCTGCTCCAATGATTGTGCCAATGATGATGGAGATGCCCCTCAGCAAAGTGATTTTCTTCTTCAGCACCACTTTCTCTTGCCCAGGGGGCTCCTTGCCACCCAAGGAAGGCAGCTTCCCATTAACATTCCCCTGCAGGTAACCTCCACTGGAGATGGTGGACACGACAGGCTTTCTGACCATTGTAGTGACACACAGGAAAAAATGAAATGGAGGAAAAAAAATAAAAATAAAAACCCCAAACTTTCAACTTTGTGTCTCTTGGTGGGACTGACCAAACCTCTTCCTCTCTGCTTTCAGACTGTCTCTTTCAGCGCTATTGTGTTCACAGGTAGGAACTCAAAGGTGTATTTTCTCCTTCACAGCTATCTAATTACTCCTCAGAAACACCTGTGTGTTCATGGTGCTCCCGCTCCTCCACCACCTCAGACTACCTCTGCTGCTGCGGCTGCTGTTACCGCCCTATGATTACAAACCAGCTCAGCTTCCTCAGGGGCTGGTATTTAAGCTCCTGCCTGTCACACCAACTTATTCCAGCTTAATGATGATGCAAATTCTCCAGGTTTGCATCAGCCACATGAGAAGGCTCCAGCATTACTCAGCTCTTTAAAAAAAAAAAAAAAAAAAAAAACAGCAGCATGTTGCTCAACTGACCTAAGCTTTTCAGAGAACAAAGCACACACTTTAAAGGGATCTTAACCAATCCAGAAGTAGTAAATTCGGAACAGACCTTCTCAGAGATTTAAAGCAACTCCTAGTGAGGGACAAAAGCTCTTCATGCGAAAAGAAAATGAAAAATGAAACAGGAAATGATCACTGCTTTGTGAGGAGTTTCTTTTTTAACTTACGGGTGAAACATTTCACATGCAACTGCTTTGATAATAGAACACAACCCAAAGCTGCATTGTTTATGACAAAAAGTTTTTAGATTTCATAACATTTCCTGCTGAGTTTTTTTTTTTTGGAGGGGGGAGGGTATCTGAGTAATATAGTCAAATCTAGTTTTTACGAAGCTAGGATGATTCTGCATAGCTGCTGTCATGCACAGAGTAGTTGTGAGACTCACTCAACATTAAAAGATAAAAATGATTTCTTGCTACCTGTAATAAATGTGTATTTAAAACCACCACCTGAGTGTAAGAGATTTAAAAATCATAGTGACTCCAGAAAATAGCCATTTTCTGATTCTCCTAAACTCTAGGTGATCCCCAAAACTAAGTAAAAGATACATATTCTTCATTTGCATGTTGTTTCATTGAATTTCCAAAAAAATTAACTTCAAAATTAAGCAATGATTACAATGACATAAAACTATGCATACAGCAAAAACCTGGAAAGGAACACATAGAATAATAGTTTTGGGAAGTGTGATATGTATGATTTTTTTTTCTAAAGTGTATAAACTTTGTTATATCATGATTATAAATTTAAAATGAATTGGAAATATAAATTAATGTTAAAATGTTTATTCAAAACAGTAAGAAAGACAAAACATTTTAAACCCCACTAACTTTCTTAATTTAGTGTCCATAAAACAAAAACAAAACAAAACAAAATCCTAGATTCCTTTTGGCTGTGGTTATAGATGGTTTCGGATTCAGTGAGAATTTAACATTATCATTACCCTGAAGCTACATTTACAAACACCATTAAATACACTTCTAAATGTCTGAACAGGAATAACAAACAAAAACTGTGAGAGAGAGGTGGAGATGAGGTAGGTGGGAGGTTCAGGAGGGTGCAGGAAAGAAACAGCCACTAGGAAAGTAGCACAGAGAAGGTCAGAATCATTTCTGTTATTTTGGCACCTGAGAAAATTCTACCACCTCCATGCTCTTCCAACCAAATAATTGAGCCTTTATCACTTCCTTTGTATATTATCCCACCTAAATCCTATCTAATTTGCTTTGGGTATCCCAGGTCAGGGTTTTTATACAGCCAAAATAAAAAGTTTTTCCCAGTTGTTACGCCTTTCATAAAGTAAAAATGGGTAGTTTCCCTCATTTAATCTGTGGACACTCCTAAAAAAAAGGAAGCTAAACGAAGATTCTTCTTCACTTCTCCTCTCCCTACCTGTCCTTCCCCTCACACAAGTGAGGAGAGAGTTTTCTGTTTCCCCCAAAAAGAGAACTGATTAGTGCTGAAGAAATATAAGTTAAAATTAGAACACTAGAAATCCCAGGGAATAACTTTTTATCTTTACCTCACACGGAACGACACTTTGATTTTAAATTTTGTGCTAAATGACTGAACTAATAAATTGAGACTATGACCCCACTCAGACAGGAAGTCAGGTAAATTCTAAAAGAAGAAAAAAATGTTCTTTTAATATCAAATAACTTTCTCCTCTTTTGTAGTATTATGAAAAACTTGAAGTTTGACTAATGACCGAAGAGACTGTACTATCATATAAGAGAGCCATATTCAAAAATTTTGCAAAGCTGCAGATAATCACCAGAGACACAACATACCTCTTCCAACCACCCACAAATTTGCAGAAATTTCAGGTTCTAAAGAAAATGTTGAGTAAACATCAACATTAATGAACTCTTATAATCTACAGTCCTAAACTTTGTAAACTAAGAATTTATAGTCTTCAAATACGTGTGTATCATAAAAATGAGTCCTAAGCCAGTGCATTTATGTTCCTCCTAATTCAGGCTGCATTTTAAGCATTCCTGTCAAATTAGTGCTATTTACAAATATTTAGCTAGTGCTCTTTATGCACAATGGATACCCCCAGCTCTCTAAAAGTATCTTAGGAAAGAAACAAATGTGATATACTGTGGTTGGTTCCCTTTTCTGGTAATAATTTCTGTCCCATGATTATAAATATGTGCAGATAGGGACGCCTGGGTGGCTCAGTTGGTTAAGTGGCTGCCTTTGGCTCAGGTCATGATCCCAGCGTCCTGGGATCGAGTCCCACATCAGGCTCCTTGCTCGGCAGGGAGCCTGCTTCTCCCTCTGCCTCTGCCTACCACTCTGTCTGCCCGTGCTTGCTCTCTCTAACAAATAAATAAAAATTTTAAAAAAATCTTTAAAAAATGCTAAAAAAGTAAAGAAATAAAAATAAATATGTGCATGTACTGATGTGGCCAAAAATAATCCTCTTTCTGGCTGCCAGGTATAGGAATGTAACCTGAGCCAGGACATTACTAAACAGAATGAGATTTATCTTATCTCAACCAGTGGAAGTTGTAAAGATGTGACCCAGAACAAATGGTGACCATGTGCCCTGCCATGTTGAGTAAGTCCTCATGAAACAAAAGAGAATATGCAGAGATGAGAGACACTTTCAAAGTCCCGAATCATCAAGGTCTGATTTCGTTCCAAAGGGACCCAGGTTGGCTCGAGGTCCTGAAGATTTTCCTTCAATTCTAGAAGCTACATAGTTTCCTTGTTAGATATGCTACCTCACACCACACACACAAAACAGCGACATGGGTGGTAGAGCTAAATGTAAATGCGTATCATTAAAGCTTCTCAAATGGGTTGATTTATGATGCTCATCAGCACATGGGATTATTAGCACATGGGATTATTAGCACATGGGATTATCAGCAACTGAAGCATGGCTAGGCCAACTGGGATACGCTATACGTGTAAAATAGTCATTCATATTAATTTCACCTGTTCCTATTTTTTTTAATTAATTTATTTTTTTTATTTTTTATAAAAATACAATATATTTTTATCCCCAGGGGTACAGGTCTGTGAATTGCCAGGTTTACACACTTCACAGCACTCACCACAGCACATACCCTCCCCAATGTCCATAACCCCACCCCCCCTTCTCCCAACCCCCCTCCCCCCAGCAACCCTCAATTCATTTTGTGAGATTAAGAGTCACTTATGGTTTGTCTCCCTCCCAATCCCATCTTGTTTCATTTATTCTTCTCCTACCGCCTTAACCCCCCATGTTGCATCTCCACTTCCTCATATCAGGGAGATCATATGATAGTTGTCTTTCTCCGATTGACTTATTTCGCTATTTTTTTAAAGAGGCTACTTAAAATTAAAATTATACATGTGGTACATGGGGCACCTGAGTGGCTCAGTCAGTTAAACATCCAACTCTTGATTGTACCTCTGGTCACAGTCTCAGAGTTGTGAAATCGAGCCCCATGTTGGGCTCTACAGTAGGCATGGAGTCTACTTAAGATTTTTTCTCTCTCCCTCTGCCCCTCCCACCCCCACGCCTTCTCTCTCTTTCCCTCTCTCAAATAAATAGATAGATAAAATTATATATGTGGTACAAATATCTGGCTCCCATTATATCTCTAATAGACAGTGCTGATCTAGAAAAAACATAACATATGTTCTCAACAGGTATAAGAAGGGATTTCTTAAAAGGTACATACAAAGTACTAATCACAGAAACAAGATATATTGAAATATATTAAAATTAAGAATTTCAGTTCATCAAAAGACATGATTGAGAGATTGTAAAAATGAACCATAAAATAAGAGGGAGTATTTCCAAGTGGCAAAGATCTCATATCCAGAATAAATAATAAATTCCTATAAATCAATAGTAATAAGATGGGCAACCTAATAGAAAATCCACAAGAAATCTGAACAGACACTTGATAAACGCCCAATGAATTTTTTTAAAAATTGCAAAACCACTTTAGTCATTAGGGGAATTAAAACTAAAACTACAATGTGGTATTAATTCCCATGATCATAGTGGCCCACATGAGAAAGATGACAATACCTGGGACAGTAGGAGTGTGGCACAACTAGTAAAACCTACTAAAGTTAAATGTACACATACGCTTTGACCAATAAATTCCATTTCTAGGAATATAAACCAAAAAATGCAGGACATTCATATGCCAAAAGATATGGATGAAAAATATTCATAGTAGCTTTATTTATAATGCCAAATAATAAAAATAACACAAATGTATTGTATTTATTCAGTGAAATACAACAAGACAGTAAAAAAGGAACAACAGCTGTGTACAATAATATGGATAACTCTCACATAATATTAGACAATGTACACAAAATAAAATACTATATAATTTAATTAACATATTAAAAAAACAAGCAAATGACTCTATAGGGTAAAAACTCTGATGGTTGTCTTTGGAGATAACTGGATTCTAGTGATTGGGGGTGACACAAAGGCAGTTTCAGGGTCCTAGTCATGTACTATTCAACAAATTTGGTAGTAATTACAGTAGTCCTTCAACTTTGTGATAAT